TCCGATCCCCAAACTCCTGAACAATATTTCTTATATACATCTTTTAGAGATGATAAGAAAGATTTAATTATTTGTAGATTGATCAACCCCAATTCTACTAATAACATTCGCTATACTACTAGCAATTTAGATCACCTCGCGCAATCATCCCTCTTCAAGATTTAGTACCCTCTCTATTGGATACACATAAATCTCCTCCATTAGGATCCTCTTCGGCTCCTACTCCTTGCTTGTCTCCTTTTTGAGATCAACTGAAGTCGTGTTGGTCCCGATATGCGGTGACCTATCACGTACACCTAAATCCTTCATTGGCTTATACTTTTAAAGTAACGCCAAACGAACATAAACCGTCAATCCTTAACTCTGCCTTCTGGCAACGAAATCGATAACATACTCCTCTACTCCTTTGGGTCTTTATTGCTTTCGCCTTGAACCCATCATTTTTCTAATGCCAACCATTCTATGACTACAGAATATAATTGACATCAGTTCCTCCTAACAAACCGTAAATAAAGTACAACGAATCCTAATATGGGTTCAAAGTTTTAAGGGACGCAACGCGGAAGTCACATAACGAAAGACACTCCTAAGGACACTTGAACCTGGAGTGCTCTGATACCAACTATGATAGCCCCCGAATTTCCGAATGCGGGTTGGCTAGGCCCACACCCGAATACCCGAGGATATCAAAACAAATTGATAATAAACGAATACAGAGTACAAAAGAATAAAAAAAGAATAAATAAAATGCTGACAAGAAATTAAAATGATAATCTAATAATAAACCTCATAATATATTTCCATTAATTAATAAACTCTTCTGATACAACTGATCCTCCAAAATACAACTCGGGAATCCATACTGTATGGACCCCTAGAAAATCCAAACCAAACAAATGACAGTAATCTAAAACAGGAAATTGAATCATAAAGGAACTCCTATGTAGCATCGGAAGAATGAAGTAGACTGATCCCCGCTCAGCACGAACAACCTCTACTCGTGACGAACACCTGAAAAATAATGGTGGGTCAGGCCCACAAATAAGTTCATCTCTACTACAGTCCAAGCAGAGATCCGATACACGTATACATCCTAGTCAATCCAACAGTAACTAGTAGTCCGTATATATATATATACACATTAAATGAACCTCACTAGACTATAGGGTTGTCTCAACCTGAATAGTAGGCAACATGCAAAACGCACATATAGTGGGCATGAGTACCTAGACCTACCAGGGTACACAATTACACTATATCTAACTACACATCCCTGGCGATATACGCGCCCTAACCATTGATCTTGAGACTTAAGCTCATATCACGGCACTATACTTATATATATAAAATCTAGTAACCATCCTATCCGGTATAAATTAATCCTCCATAAGTCATTCAACTTGTTCAGTTAACCTGACTTGAATATAAGTAGGACTTAACATTTTAGTTAATCCATTCCCTTATATAATAAATTAATCATCCATAAGTCATTCAACTTGTTCAGCTGACCTGACTTGAATATAAGTAGGACTTAACATTTTAGTTAATCTATTCCCTTATATAAAATAGGTAGGACTTAACTGATAAGTTAATTCGTCCCTAGAATGCCACCGTCCCATACCAGTGCATTAAATCACACAATCCAACAATTAATGTAACGATTAAGGAAATACATCAAACAATCTAGAAATAACTATGATAATATGATATCAAGTTATTACAAAATAGGAATGACTTATTATTTATTTAAGCTTCCTATATCATATGTCCTACATAAACTGAATCTTATACATATAATGATATTTTATTATACCGTCAAATAAGCATTCTCCATATCCAATTCATTCTACACATTTAATCTCAATTGCTAAAACATATTAAAAGATTAAATTCATTCGTTTGTTTAAAACATTCAAATAGCAAGCATCATTATGATTGAGTCTATTTAAATTTATTTAAACCCAAATCTAGTTTTTATTTAATGTTCAGGAATCCTAGGCATGTTTCTACGTTCCATCATTCCACAGATATGAAAAATACATAATTTAAACATGTAAAAATTCATATAAGAAATCAAATCAAAATCATGCATTTTATCAATTCATAACACAAGAACAAATATGAACCAATTTCATAAAACCTATATTCTAACCCAATTAAACATGCATAATTATTTAATTTTATGTGTTTAATAAATCCTAAAATTTCCTAGGCATGTACAGAAACACGAATCAAAGGGAAAGAGATAGAAGAAGAACTTGCCTTAAACTTTCGGATCGAAAGTTAAACTTATTCTTTCTTTATCTTCTCTCTACAGGGTTTTTCTCCTCATTCCTTTCTTTTCCTCCTTCCTTCTCTAACTCTCTCTCTCTAGAATATATCACGTGAATATTTCTAACCCTCTTTTACAACCTATAACTATATATTTATAGGCTAAATAAAATAACCCTAACCCTTTTCCCAATCCACGTCAACTTAAAAAAAAATATATTAAAATATTAAAAAGGTAAGTAAAATATGTTATGTATATAATTTATGTATATCTTTATTAAATAAATAAATTATACACATTCCATTATTTATTAATGGATTATCCAATAATACTGAAGTTACCATAATATTATAAAGTAACTTAAAACATAATACATATCAAATCTATGTATATATTAGTATTAGTTAAATATAAAACATATACATCAGATAAAATATTACTACCCAGGTTACCATAAAAGTAATTAACCAATTAATTTCCTTTTTATATATATTAAAAAGGTAAGTAAAATATGTTACGTATATAATTTATGTATATGTTTATTAAATAAATAAATTATACACATTCCATTATTTATTAATGGATTAACCAATAATACTTAAGTTACCATAATATTATAAAGTAATCAAATCTATGTATATTTTTATTATTTAAATATAAAATATATATATCAGATTAAATATTACTACCCAAGTTACCATAGAAATAATTAATAAATTACTTTTCTTTTTATATATGTATATAATATATATACATACATTATCCATGGGTAATAATCCATACATATCCAGCCTCTTATCCAAGTAGTCCATGGGACCCAATTGGTTGGCCCATTACTACTAACCATAGCCATAAAAGAAAAATAAAATAAAATAATAAAAGAAAAGAAAACATTTAATTTACAATCAATCAAAACACTATTTAAGCACATAATCTAATTAAACAATTAATACATAGACAAATACAAATAATACATAGACACATAATCAAATAATCAAGTAATACCTAATTCAATTAACACATAAGCAATTAGTCAAATAATTAATTAAATAATTAAAAAATACAATTAAAACAAATAAATAAATACCGAGACTATCCTTTTAAAATTAGGGGTATTACATTTAATACATTATATAATATTCATAAATTGACTTAAACTAAATTATAATATACAGGTTTGTGCTTGCGGGTAATTTTATAATTTGTCAATTCTTAATTTTTGTTTTTTAAAATAAAGTGGAATATCATAAGAGTAATATAGTCATTTAACAAGTTCTTAATGGTTCATTGACATAATTGAGGTAATGTGATAACTTTGTAATTATGTTGTATTTTTAGACACAGATTGAAGTTTTATAATAAAAAATTAAAAGTAATGGGAATTTTATTATTTTAGCCCTATAAAATATATAAAGAAAAACCGTACAAAATCCTAACTTTCTCTGTTATATTTGAAGTTCAAAAATGATAATTCTCATGTTTCAAAGTTCGAAAAGGATATCTCATATCATTATGTTACTCAAGTTAACTATTTTATAAATTCCCTAAAATTAAGAGAAAACTCAAAGTACCATTTTGATATGAATGGTGGTATAGTTTGAAATTCTTCTTCCACAAAACAAATTTGAAAAAAACAAATTGCAGAAGATGGATGATGTTGGAAAGAGAAAATTTCAAATAAAAATAAAAGGGGATAATTATACTTACATTCTTGTAGATTGTCTAAATAATAGAGACTTTCCCTCTAATTTCAAATATAACATTGAGTCCCTCTCTGATTCAGGTCCATAGTAACACTGACCTCCCTTTTTTTTTTTTTTTCGAAAATTTACACTGACCTCCCTTGTCATATAATTTGATATTCTTGTCTATTGATGTCATGTTCAATATTTACTTAAAATTCAAAAAAATTCTTAGAAAACTTGAAAATACTATTTTATTTATAAAGAAATAAATAATTTACATTCAAAATAATAATAATACAATAGTTATAATAGTCATTTAACACATTTTGGTAAGTGTCATGATAAGGGTGGTCATCGTTATATTTGAAATTACAAGAAGAAGGTCTTTTTTATTTAGGTAATCTACAAGTGATGTAAGTGTAATTACTTCAAATAATAATTGCTTGTTAATTGACGTCAACTTTTTCAATCGACCTCATGTTAGTTATTTATTTTTCATTTAGAATTTTGCTCAACTATTCTTATTCTTCCTTTTTTAAAAAAAAAATAAAAGTTAAGAGTTTGAGTAGGGTAAATTACCTTCAACCCCATTTAGGTTTGAACTTACACCATCAAATTAAACTATGGTAAAAAATAAGTCTAACGTTGCATGAGATTTCAACAAAGTAACAAGTAGGTACAATTCGTTAGTTGTTAACTTCGTCACAATAATTTTATGCAATGCCGAAATTATGCTTCAAATAGATGAAGTTACATAGGAGTAATTTCTGCCGGTATTAATTAATATATGGTGTAACACAACTATTCCCAAATTATATGACCGAAATACCCTTGCAAGGTCTTTAAATTACGAGTTTGACTATAGTTTGGTGGTAGTAATAGAGAAGGTCAAAGATTTTCGTGGTAAAAAGTAGGTGGGTGAGTTTCTTGCTAGCAAAAAAAAAAAAAAAAAAAAAAAAAAAAAACTTTGAATTGGATCAAGCCCTGGACTGAGTCAGCTTAAATTTGGGCCTTGTTGGCCCCAAATGCAGCCCAAAGCATTAAATTCCCTTCTCCTCAGTCGGTCTCACTGTGTTTTCTGTTGGTTAGTTAGCACGAGAACAGAGGTGTGTGTGCAGAGAGATCAGATAATGTCAGTGACAGACGAAATCAAAGGCAAACAAACCCTGATCTTCACATATGGCACACTGAAACGAGGCTTCGCTAACCATCCTCTCCTGCAAGACCTAATCCGCACAGACGACGCCGTTTACCTCGGCTCCTACCTCACCGTCCACGAACTCCCTCTCGTCTGCGGCCCACACGGCGTCCCATTCCTCCTCAACCTCCCTGGATCGGCCCGCCACCGAGTCCACGGCGAGCTTTACGCCGTGTCGGACCGTGCACTCGCCCGAATCGATGAATTGGAGGGCACGACTCGCAGTCACTACGAGAGACTCCCAATTCAGGTCCGATCCGAAACCGAGGTCGACGGCGGTGACGGTGGCGGTGTGGTGGTGGAGGCGGAGGCGTATTATGCGCACCGGAGCTATGCGGAGGAGATGTGGAGGAGGAATGGGAGGGTAGGGTTTAGTGCGTTTACGGAGAAAGAGGAGAAGGGGTACGTGAAAAGGGGTGATAGGCCCAAGGATCGAAGTTTTATCGAAGATATTCAATTGTTCGTTTCGTCGTCGTCTTCTCCTCAATTGTGATTCTGATTTCGAAGGTTTCTCATGGCAAAATTCTCCATCAAATCGACTCTCGGAGGCGGTCTTCATATCATTACTGTACGTCAAACTCTATTTAGATTGAATATTTTGTTTGGTTTACGTATTTAATTTATATATATACATTGAAATGTGGATGATTTTGTTATGGATTTATTATTGGGAATTCAATTTGTAGAGCATTTTTTTTTTTCTTTATTTGTGCATTGAGAATAATCCGTTGATTTGGATTATATGCTTATTTTTAGCTGATGACATATCAATATGGTAGCTAATATTTTGAATAACTCTCCTGCGGAAATTGAAGACACTTTGATTTACGATTATTTTGAAGCCAAGGTCTATCAAAGAGCATGCATTTTAATTTCGGAATCTTGAATTGAATTTCAATATGAGAATTCTGTATCTGAAGCCTTTTCCTCTACCATGGAGTTTTTATCCACAGTGGCATCTGCTCCTCCTCCCACATGCGAGGTTGAGGGTTTGTGTCCAATTAAGACAATAGTGGGTTTGTATTATGTATATGAAAATGATATTTTGGCAACCAATTGACCCAGCTAAACTAATCCTTTTCTTTCTTCTTCTTCTTCTTTTTCTTTTTGTCTTGACAAATAACAAGAAAATAGAGCAAATGAAAACTAAATAGATTCACAATATAGAGGAAAATTGCTAGTTCTGTTCCACTGCCTGCCTCATGGGAGGAGGTTTCTAGGATTAAGAAAGACTAAGAAGTTGACTTTAAATGCATTTGGTCTTCCTTTTTATTTATTATTATTTTTTAAAATAATAATTTTGGTAAAAAAGAACTGACCACCACCATAGCCCAATGGGAACTACCATTTTAGCTAAAGGCGCCATAATTCACACTTTCCTGGAGTCCACCAAGTTTTTTCATACCGGAAGCTACCTCTGATAGTGATAGGATCAATGGTCAAATGAGGCTTAATTAACTGTAGCGCGGACAGCCACCTGGACGACTTCCTCTCGAGCAACTTACCCCAGGACATTTGTGAAGCGACTCAATGATTGCTTGACAAGCGGCCTGAGTTTCTGCTATCCATGGAGGCCATAAAAGATTAGCATAGATGACTTCTACCTCCTCTCTCTGCAATGGAAACTAAACAATGGGTTCATCAATATATATATATATATATATATATATATATATATATATATATATAATAAATTGCCGGTACCCTGAGGAGAGCGGGGGAGGGGTTGGATATTTCTGAAGTGGAATACTTAAATAATGTACATGGGATGGGTTTATTATCTGGCCTCCTTTGTAGCAATATATTCATTCCAAAGAGAGCGATCTTCTTTTAGAATTTGATCAGGATCTGGAGACCTTCTTGGAATGACTTTGTTTCTCTAGGCTCAAATTCTTTATTTACTAGAGAAGGTGCAAATGAGAGATAATGGGAATTCAATAAAGAGGTCCAATATTATTAACTGAGGGATTTGGGAGATATGTAATCCAATCTGCATTGGATAGGGACAGAAAGTCATCTGGTTTAAGGAACCACTTCGCGAACCACATGAATCTGACAATTCTATATTTAAAGAACATGTGAAGAGCAGTTTAAGGGTGTTGCATTAAGAACAGCTCTCCAACTGATCTAATGCAAAAATGGCTGTTAAAGATCTTCCTAGGGGACGAGAGTCAGTAGCAATTTTCCAGAGGGAGAACTTTGAGTCTTTCATGAAACTGAGACTTGCAAGTTTTTTTTTTTTTTTGTTTATATATATATATATATATATATATATATTTATTTATTTATTTATTTTAGATGCCATAGAGAGAAAAATAACTTGGTTCATAACCCGATCTTAAGGAAAACTCTCCTGATTTAGTTTGAATGCGATTAGGGTGACTCTCTAGTCCCTTCCAGAGTGATTTTCTATGTTTACCAAGAAAATTTTCTACATAGATGATATTAGACACTACCCTAATAATGTCTCATATATGCTCATAATCTGCAGCAGACCAGCATCACCATCCTTGCCTTTATTCCAAACAAATGTGGTAGACTACATTTATGTTCCTATTACTTTATTTTCTATTATCCTCATTGTCACCTCTTATTTTTAACTTTTTAAAGTCAGTTCTAATAAATTATTCCAAGCTACTTTTGGTCGGCCTCTCTGTTTATTGCCTTATATGCAAACTAATATTCCTTTTCTTGGTGGTGCATTTGTGTACGTTGCTTGTCTTCAAATCACCTAAGTTTACTTTCTCTTAGGTTATTATTCATAGTTGTTATTCCTAATCTCTCCCTCACATTTCAATTCTTAAACATATCACTCCTATCATCTATCACAACATTGTCATTTCAACTATATGAATCCACTGTATATGTTTTTTCTTTTAACTTATTTGGTATTATTTTATGACCTAGGATACCACTAGCATGTCTCCATATTGTCCACCTTGCTCCAATATTCCAACATTGCAAATGAAATCATCATCTCCTACTTTTTGTAATATTGATCTTAATATAAAAAATGATTATTCTGATAATCCTTTGGTCTTGAATTGTTTTTGTTATACCATCACTTTTCAAGACTTTACATTCTATGTATTTTGTTTTAGTCTTAATAATTTTTAGCCTTTTATTTCTAATGTATGTTTTCATATTTCTAATTTTGTTCTCTGGACTTTCTTAAAACCGTATTGAACAATACTATGTCATTAGCAAACAACATGTCTTCTTGCATATTTTGTTCTTTCATATGAGATTACTATAAATAGGTATGAGTTAAGTACTGATCATTGGTTTAATCTCACTTGAATAGAAAAAATATGTGTTTTACTGCTTATAGTACGAACTCTAATTCTTGTCTTGTTATACATATCTTGAATAATCCTTACAAGTTTTTAAGTGGATAGTTTTAGGATGTAAAGTTCAGCAAATTATATCTCTTGGTACTCTATCACATGCCTCCTCTCTGGAAAAACCATGTGCTGATCGTTTTGTTTGCTTCTAGAATCGTGTCTTAATTTTCTAATTAAATGATTGGCTTAATTTTCTAATCAAATAAATGGCTTCCATAGTGATTCTTACTTGCATAAATTAAAAATTGTTATCGACAGTAGGAATTAATTTCTTTGGTAATTTTTTTCCATAATTCAATTGTTTGACTCTTTAACTTAATTCATCAATAATTATCACAATTTTGCATCTTCCCTTTATTTTTTGTAAAGTGGTTTTATGATACATTTTCTCCATCATTAGGCATCATTTTTTTCTTCTAAATTTTTATTGAATATTTTTTTTTAGTCAGTCAATGCCTGCTTTTCCTAATTTTTTAGTATTACACATCTTTTTATGTGCATTATGTGCATCCTGTATTCTTTCCCCCCCCTTCCCCGCGTAATTTACATTCTCTATTCCTCCATTATTGATCCTATTTATCATACTTATACTAGATTCTTTAATTGAAATTTATTTTCTAGAATATTCTTTAATTTATCATACTTATATTAGATTCTTTAATTGAAATTTATTTTCTAGAATATTCTTTAATTTATCATACTTATATTAGATTCTTTAATTGAAATTTATTTTCTAGAATATTCTTTAATAGTTGTTGAGAGTATTCTTTTAATTTGTTTGAGGGTAAAGTGCGAATACCCCCCCCCCCCCGGCGGCGGCGGCGGGATGTTCAAGAAACCAGCTACATTTTAAAAATTGTGCAAAGGAGTACATTTTGTCAATTTAAAGACTGAAATACCTAATACGCCCTTAAGGCAAAATAATAATAATAATAAAATAAAACACTGATTTCACCTCATAGCTCTCAGCTCTCAACTCTCTCTCTCTCTCTCCCACAGTATCTTCTCTCTCTCACACACTATTCTACCAAGATTACCATTTTTATAGCATTATGTGAGTGCAGCTCATGACCCTTGGAATACCCCATAATTGAGATAATGAATATTTGGCTCTATAGCATAATAAAAGTAATCACTCCATAGTTGAAGTAATCAATATTTGACTATAGGATTACCCCGCAATTGAGGTAATCAATATTTGACTCTAGCTTTATAAAAGTAATTACAACTGACCTAGAAAGCACATATACGGATATGGAATACGGATACGACATGATATGGGTATGGTGATATGACAAATCTCAAAAAAATAGGATACGGGTATAACATGATACGCATTAAAAAATAATATATATATATATATATATATATATATATATAAATTAATTTTTGGTCAAAATTTTAAAAATATTATGAATCTAAATACAATCTTTAATATAACATAGAAGTTCGTTTCACAACACATAAAACAAGCATCCATAGTCATCACTTAATAAATTTAAACTTTTTTTTAACAATTATACTATGCTATTATTGTTGAAAAAGTTGCATTTTAATGTTCAAACTTGTTAAAAATGTGTTTTGAAGTATCCGAGAAGTGTCGGATACATAGAAATTAAAAAATATATTTTAAAATTATGGATACGTTTCAGAAGTATCGGACACGTATCCGCGAGTATCTGTGGAGTATTGGTACCTGACACGTATCCGATACGGGTATGTTGCACTCCTAGAAGTATCTGTGCTTCCTAGTTACTTATTGATGCAAATTGATGCAAGTTACTATAATTATGCAATTTTGACCAAACTCCTCAATTATTTAAGACTCCTTGCCAAATTATGGCCCGAGCCTTAGAACCCTCCTTGCCACATCTTTTATACACTTTAAAAGGCTACTGCCACTGTTCTCTATCAAGGAAACACATTATTATTTATTTAGTTAATAAGAATAATATAGGTAGTAAGAAATACTAATATTCAATATAAAGGAAATCTAATTAGAGAAGGAAATATATAATATAAAAAAATCTAATTACAGAAAGAAACACAAAACTTATTTATTTAATTCAATAAAAGTAAATCTAATTAGAGAAATATATAATATTAAAAACTTATTTATTTAGTTAATAATAATACTATAGGTTGTAGGAAATACTGAAATTCAATAAACGGGAAATAATCAGAGAAGAAAATATATAATAATAAAAAATCTAAGTAGAGGAAACATATTATTGAATTTCAGCATTTTAGTACATTAATATATAATATTAAAAAAATCATTTATTTAATTCGATAAAAGGAAATCTAATTAGAGAAAGAAATATATAATATTAAAAAACTTATATCATTCTCCCACTAAACATTTATTATTAATGAATGTGCAAAAGACAAAACATTTGGCTTCATAAATATTTGAAATTTCAATTACTCAAAGGAGTTGCTAATTAATTATTTCTAAAAGGGAATTTATTTAGATAATTTTGTATAATTTTTTTTTAATTAAGATTATAAAATAACTTTTGATCACGTGCATCGCACATGTCTTTTACTAGTGTGTGTGTATATACACACACACACACACACACACACATATCTGTGCGTGTATATATTTGATGTGTTTTTTTCCTTAATTTGACCAACACGATAATCAGCGAGAGCGTGATTGTAAAAGAGCTCAGGCCTGGAGCGGTGGTAAGGGTAAGAACAAAAAGGATGGCTTGACTTGAACAACGCCGTGAAAGGTTTGATTAGTGGTGTGGGATTGGAGGGTTTGAGGATGTTGGACTGTTGGTGTGTGGAATTTGGAGGGTTTGAGGATGTTGGAGAACCACTTGTGGATGGCCGAAGCAAGGTATATCTTGGTGGTGGTTGGAGATGTGCCTGTTTTTAGTGAGGAGAGAGAGAGAGGTTTTATTAAGAGTATTTCGGGGTTTTATGAATTTTTTTGGTCAAAATTGGTTGTGAATAGATATTAGACGGCAATTTGCACATATTTTTCAAATGCTAAGAGTAGGGGTGGCAAAATGGGCCAGAAACCATCAACTTGCCCATATCCGCCTGTTTTTTTAATGGTTTTGGGTGAACCATATTTAAAATGGGTAAAAAATGGGTTGAATAATTTTTAATCACTTAATTTGAGGGTCAAAATGAGTTGAATATGGTTATCCATATTCAACCCATATTTCACCCAGCACATAATAGACACACAACACACATTTATTTTATATTGCACTCAATTCATTTTTTTCTAAAATTCACTCACTCACGATTAGAGCTACAAGATAGGCTGGCCCAACCCAGCCCAGTCCCAACTCAACCTCAACCCGAAATCGGGTTGGGTTATGCCAGCCCGAATATTTTGGGCTGGTTTCACGAGTAAATTTTATTTTTTATTTTTTATTTTTTTATTTTTTATTTTTTTCTTCCAAATATGCAAATTACATTTTCCTTTTCCATATTTATAAATATTAAAGTTTTTAAGAAAATTTTATTTTTAAAACATCAATATTTTGGACAGGTAGGTTGGGTTTCACGGGTCAATTTTTTTTTTTTTTTTTTTTTTACAAATATACAAATTACATTTTTCTTTTCCAAGTTTGTAAATATCAAAATTTTTATTTTTTAAACATAAATATTTTGGGCGGATCGGTCGGGTTTCACGGGTGAAATTTTATTTTTTATTTTTCAAATATGCAAATTACATTTTCCTTTTCCATGTTTGTAAACATCAAAGTTTTTAAGAAAATTTTATTTTTAAAACATCAATATTTTGGGCGGGTCGGTCGGGTTTCATAGGACAATTTTTTTTTTTTACAAATTACATTTTCCTTTTTCATGTTTGTAAACATCAAAATTTTTAAGAAAATTTTATTTTTTAAACATCAATATTTCTTCTCTTTCCTTCATTTCTATTCTCTATCTAAAACGAGTTGATAAATATTGCTGAGTTTTAGATTGTTTTTTTTATTTTTTGTTAAATAAAATTTTAAAACCTTCCCGAAAAGAAGTAATTAAAAAAAATAATAATAATAATTAATGGGTCCACGGGTTATAACGGATTAACCCTATACATTTTGGACCCGCCCATATTCAGCCCGTTCTGAACGGGTTAAATATGGGTCTTGACCCATGTTTGACCCGCCCATTTTCAACCAATCCAAATCCGGCCCAATCCGCCTATTTACCGCCCCTAGCTAATAAGAGGTTTTACGCTCATACTAAGTAGGATGGGTGTTTTGTGCACAATTTTTATACAGCAGGAGGGTTTCCGGCACTTTACCCTTTGTTTAATATGTTAGTTTATTTAACTGATATATATATATATATATAATCAATATTCTAAATGCATGTAATTGGATCCATATCTTTAGTCAACTTATCTTTACCTTTTTTTGCCTTTTTTTTATTTTAATTTTTTGATAAGTAAAATTATAAGGATAACTTTTTTTTGCCTATTTCTGAAAACCTTTTTCATCTTCTGTTGTGTCTGTTTGTTCATATAAGTCGTTTAGTTCACTAAACAATGATTGCTTAATTCCAACACTTGGCAGTATAATCAGCTGAAATATTTGTTGCCATCTGGTTGTTCTGTATGTTGTATATCATGTGAATGTCAGCACACCTCCAAATTTTGCAATCATTTTTCACGGAAGAAGTTCAATAATCTTTTTGCAACTTAATTCAGGTCTAGCCAAAAATAGTACCATATTGATGCGTGGGTATTGCGACTTGCACTGACTGTAGGCTCATCTAAAATTTTGTGATTCTAGTTACTCTTTCCCGACAATTACTTCCGTTGAATGGACCGTTCATGGACGCTAGTTTTTAACCATATCATAGTCGTTGTAGGTAATTATACTATGACATGCATATTGACAAATAACTATTGAGGCTGAAATTCGCGCAGTCCGATACGATACCGTTTTCCTGCAAGGAAGAGAGGAGAAGATCGATGAACCTTGACAGCACTGGTGTGGTGCCTGCCAATAGCTCTCCGACAATCAAATTAGTCACGGAGGTCTAAAAAAAAAAGGCAGGGATTAATAATAGTTTTTACGTCGTACTTTCTTTAATGGCTTGATGTCCTATTTATGACTGTCGATTGGAATCAAAATCATTCCGCTGATGTCGATGGTTGACCTTATCTTCCGCTTGTGCGAAATCATATGAGATTTATTACCAGATTTGTCAGGATATGATTTAATCCTTTTGACCTCCTCCTGTTATAGTAGGATTATTCTTACTTGTTCAACCACGTCAGATTTGATTTCATTATCCTTGATAATGAAATCTAATAAATCTTATCGAGGGTAGGATAGGTTTTTATTTTTCCCTATCAATAACTAAATGGAAGTAAACACTTGCACATAGAAGAGGAGGGCTTGTAATTGCCCTTTGTTTGACAAACATACTTCAGATACATGCATTTTAGTAGATCCTTGTATCATGGTCACCTTATTAACTAAGTTGCTGAAGCCTGAAACAAACCTGCATGACACAGCGCATCAAAATCTACAAACTTGTTGCATGTTACTTCACACACACACTCTTACACTTGGGACATGCTGCTTTACACACTTACCATAGTTCAACATCATACTCCGCTATCCCACAGTACACAAGTCATGCACATGCAATCCTCACCGCATTTGTTTGATCAATTACACAGATGCAGCCTTCACCACTTTTGAAAAAGGTCTTGCCTTCATCAGGCCCCTCGGACTTGGAGACGACACATGACCACCCTTAGTCTTGCCTTCATCAGGCCCCTCGGACTTGGAGACGACACATGACCACCCTTAGTCACACTTGCAGAATACCTTGCCTGCAGTATTAGAGCCCTCCAGAGTGCCTTACATCTTTGAGATCTGATCCACAGTTGCATCCCTGGGAAAGAAATTCGTTTTTAGTGCAAAACCCTTTTCCTGATGCACATAAACATACGCAGGCAGCTAGATATCTGACAATTGTGTTCTCTTTTTGCTTTTGCACATGAATACACGTACACTACTGCGAGAACTTCTAGTTTCAAAACTTGCAATCATTTTTTGTGTTGTTAGATTTCATTGATGTATCGAAAGCATCTTAATTGATATGCTGTTGCATAGAATGAGTAATGACAGCCTGTTGTTATTTACTATCATATTTTCCCTAAAGGTGGTTAGGCGGTTTGTTAATTTGCAGAGATGACCTGAGAAAGAACCAGGGATTGGCGCTACGTGACACAGGTGCAGCTGCTACCACATTTGGCAAAAGGCTTGCCCTCTTGAGCCTATGTCTGTCTTTTTATTTTTTATTATTATTATTTTTTTATTCCCTTGTTCTGTCATAATTAGATTCTTAAATGTCTTCCCGGTCAGGAAATGCATAATGTTAGCAACAATTTGAAATATAAAATGTTATATTTATATTAAAAGGACAATAAACCAAATTGTACCTAATATCAAATGAAAACTTCTTTCAATTTTATGTAAGTGGGTTGGGCTGTGATTTTGGTGGTCGGGCCACGTGGGTACTTTCCGCGTGCGGGAGGCGTGATGAATTATTGGTTGAGTTTGGATTTGTTAGGTCCATTTTGTGTTGGATATTGCATGGTAAGGGTTTGAGTTTTGTCCAAACACTTCGTCTTCTTCACTGAAATCGCAATGGAAAGATGGTTTAGACAAACACACACATCAAAATTTATCAAAATGTGTAATTTTAATAGGTTAAGGTTATAAAGTTTTGGGTCTTCAGATTTGAGATAGGTCTGATTCATGAAAAAAGATAAATATTGTTCAAAGAAAATATGAGAAAACTGAAAAGAAGATCAAAAAGAGAAAAGTAAAAACAGATATAGAGGGTGGGTGTTAGTGTGGCTCAAGAGTGGGAGAGTCAAATAAAAAAATAAAAAAAAAAACCGAGTCGGTGAGTCGAGCTTAAACATAAAAGTTATTTATTTATTTATTTTTTTCAACTTAAACATAAAGTTTTAATAATATGAATTGTGCGAAAACACGCGCTTTTTTTTTTTTTTTTTTCCTGAATTTTATCTTTCAAGCTGCAGGAGTTTGTTTAAAGCTGAATTTTATGAATTTTGTGGCCTTTGCCTATCCCACAATTTTTGGCCAATTAAACAGGCCATAAAACAAGTCAGAATCAGTAAAATTAACTAAAAGTAAAATGAGTAGAAACGTATAGAAGATAGTATTTAATTACCTTTATTTTCAATCATGATTTTGCAACTAGGTTGAACGACTACATTCAACCGAGTTCAAATTTGAGTTCGATTCCAATATTACTGGAACCATTGAAATCTATTCAGTTCTTATTCATCTTAAAAATGAATTAAACTGAATGCATCTTATTTAATAGCATTACTCCAAAAGATAGAAGGAAGTCGTTTAGTTTGAAATTTTGGTCGTCAAATTAATAGTACTGATACATCAAATATATATATATATATATATATATATATATATATATATATATATATGCATCTTATTTAATAGCATTACTCCAAAAGATAGAAGGAAGTCGTTTAGTTTGAAATTTTGGTCGTCAAATTAATAGTACTGATACATCAAATATATATATATATATATAGAGAGAGAGAGACGAGCTATATCGATTCACTATAAATCAATCCACTTGTCCCAGAAATGGCGAGCCATGTAATAGTAGACTATGCCATGGTCATGCATATTGACAAATTACTAAATGGAAGTAAAAACTTATACACATAGAAATAGAAATAGAAATAGAAATAGAATAAAGGATAAAAGTGCATTAAATCCTTTTAAATTTTTTTTTTTTTTTTCACAATCCCCTCAATTATGACAAAACACGTAATCCTTTAAATTATTTTATTTGTTGCAAATGTTAAGTCACTATTATAAATTTAATATTTTATTTGTTGTAAATGTTAACTCATTATTATAAATTTAATAAAAATGAAAGTATTTATGTCACCTGAGTGGTCAAAAAAAAAAATTTTAAAGGACAAAATTAATGAGAGCACTTATGTCACGTGAGAGGTCAAAAAAAATTTAAAAGGACAAAATTAGCCCTGCTGACACAATTAAGGGATAAAAGTAAAACCCTAGTCCTCGCCGGTGAAGAAGTGTTGGATCGCCGAGCTCCGGCACGGACCAACGGCGGAGACTCAAATTCCGGCCGCCGGTTTTTGCCTGCTAAATGCAATCCAATAACCCACAAAAGAAGACCACCCCTCAACCCTCCGATGACAACACGGTAATCAGAAACCCAAAAAAATCCTTTTTTTAGGAAATTCAAGAAATTTCACAATACACCTCTCCCAAAAAGAGAAAAAAAGGTCGATCATTTCAATCTGTAATCAATCTCTTTCATATATATATATATATATATGGAAAGATAAGTACACAGTGAGGGATGCGACACACAGAGAGGGATAGAGTTGGGGTGCGAAGATGAGTGCACAGGGATGCCACGCACAGAGAGGGATAGAGTTAGGATGCGAAGATGAGTACACAGAGGGAGAGAGGGATAGAGTTGGGATGCGAAGATGAGTACACAGAGGGATGCGACACACATAGAGGGATAGAGTTGGGATGTGACACACATAGAGAGGGGAAAGAGAAAGCCGTACTCTGTGATGCCCGATTCACGTCGACCATGCTCCGGGAGTTTATTGCAATTGGGTTATAATACAGGAGGATTTAATGCACAACCTTAGAATAAAAAAGCTATAGCATGGATAAAAAGAAAAAAGAAAAAAGAGATTGATTTGAGTGTGGAGCAGGGCCACTCACTCACATAAAAAATAAAAAATAAAAAATAAAAAATAAAAAAAGGTATAGCATGAAAAAGTACAATAGATTGTGCATTGGTTTGATAAGCAAAATTAGTTTAATTAATGTTGTAACTTCTAAGTCAATGGAAATAGAATAATTTTATTTATTTATTTATTTTTTTAAGGTAAGTATCAATCTAGAGCAACTCAATTATTAAGATCAAAAAGCATTGTCCATGATATTCATAATCTCACCATTTATTTTGGTTAAATAAAAAAGTAATTAAAAAATAAAAAAAAATATAGAAAGCAATAACGTGAAACAAAATACTAATAAACAAACACAAAGATATAAGACACAAAATTTCGGTGCTCCAATCAATTAAAAAAGTTAAAAAAAAAAAAAAAAGAAAAAAGGAAAAAGAAAGAAACAATAATTCAATAAAGGACAAAAGCAATTGAAACGTCTGTCTCTTTCCTCTCACATTGCAGTCCAACACCAATCACGTGAAACAAAGACAAAGATAAAAGACAACTTTCGGTGCTCCAATCAATTAAAAAAAAAAAAAAACACAATAATTCAATAAAGGAGAAAAGCAAGACTGTCTCTTTCCTCTCGCATTGCGAATTTGTCATATTGCGGCGAATCATACACTAAGCACCTCATGTTATCAGGCAATATCAAGTACCAGTTTTCAATCGAATTTTTATATTTTACTAATAGAGTATAATAAAATATATTTTTAATTTTACTAATGGAATATAATAAAATAATAGTATTTCAAAATTAAAACTGAAAATCAAAGTTCACATTTGTTGAGTGAAGAATTGTGAAGAATATATAAAAAAGTTTTCAAAAATTTTAAATATGAAAAGTTAAAATAGAGTTAGGAAATGTATTTTATTGTGGTTTTTAAAAAAAGGAAAACAAAAAATGGAAATATTACCAAACAGGAACTTAAAGGCACTCAGTGAACCAAATGATAGATGTAATCCCAGTGCCCAATAAAAAAGTGACAGCACATGGTAGGCTTATCCACAATACTTTAGATTATTGTACTGTCTCCGATTGCAATTGGGCTTCAGCTTACTAGTAGTCTGTTCAGAGTTGGCTTCCCAGAGTAATTACTACTCAATTCTATTCGAATCAGAGAAACAGAGATGGAGAGGCGGATTGAACATTTCAGCCATTGGCATTACTTGTTCCTAGACCAACAGAAACGTAAAGAAGAGGATCAAGTGACTTGCAATGGGTGCACAAACAAAATCTCGGGTGATTTCTATGGTTGCACAAAATGCAAACATTACGTTTGCAAATCATGTGTTGGATTGGCGCCAGAGATACAACACCCCTTTCACACCAAACATCCCCTCACTTTTTTCACTCAATCACCTTATAAACACGAAGAATCTAGGGATCCTGATGGTCTATCTCCTCGTGATCAACCAGCTTACTGCTATGCCTGCTGCAAGAAATGTGACGGCTTCATTTTCCATTGTTCTGAATGTAAATTTGACCTGCACGTTAATTGCGCTACGCTGATGCCCACCACCACCACCAACAACTACAAGGCAAGTGAGCAACAAACGACGCATCTATGCTTGCTTGGGTTGTTTGGCAGGAAACCTCATCCCCTGATTCCTTGCTATAGGAAGAACAAGCAGCTTGATTTTTTGTGCTCATTGTGCGACCAAGTCATCAAGGGCACCATCCATGCCTGTTTACATTGCCATGCTATGATGGATGAATCATGTATACAACTCCCAAAGCAGATCACACATCACTTTCTCCCTCATCGTACTCTCACTCTCATACCTTCTTTTGATTTTAATTGTCATGTCTGTGGGGTTTCTAAGGAAGGATTATACTTCTGCTACAGCTACCACAATTTTGAGTTTCGGTCAGAATTTTGTTTGGACGTAAGGTGCGCTTCTCTAATGCCCAAAGCCATAATAGAAAACCACGAGGTTGTTGAGGCACCATTCACCCACCCGCATGATTTGATTCCATGTGATATCACCAAAGGGATTTTTATTTTTTCATGTTCCGCCTGTGGGCTCTGCATCGAGGGTACAGTCTACGTTTGTTTTCAATGCAAGTTTCTTCTGCACAAATCGTGCGCTGAATTGCCACTGCGGATCAAACATCCCTTTCATCCACCACATCCTCTCGTGCTCGATTACACAAATTCCTCCGTCAATTACCAATGCAAGGCATGTAAATGTTCTGTTTTGGGCTTCAAGTACTTGTGTCGTGAGTGTGACTTTGAGATGGATGTCACATGTGCTTCGCTAACCTACTCCACTCTCAAATTTGAAATTCACAAGCACCCTCTTGCTATCTTCAACGACCCTACATTTACAAAAAGAAAAACGGATAGCTCGGTTCAGTGCAACAGTTGTGAAAATTTTAAGGGTTTTCCGTTCTTCCGCTGTGTGCCATGCGATTTCAGTATTAAGTTGTGTTGTTTTATAATGTTACCACATAAATTTAAACACAGCCATCACCGACATTCTCTCACCCTCACTTATTCTTTCATCAAAGACTATTCGGTCGACGACGAGGACTCCGAATATTACTGTGACATTTGCGAGGAATTAAGAAATATGTGGGAGCCAACTTATTATTGTGAGGATTGTCACTATATTGCACATACTAGCTGTGTGTTCCATGAGGTATGCCCCAATTTTCAAGTAGTAGATGAGACTTGGATTGCTTACTAATCCGTGTTTCATTTCATAAGATTTTTTCTAGTCCAATTTTTGTTCTTTACATACCCAAGGTTGTATTTGGAAAAACAGAATTTCGATAATTTTAAAATTTGATTTACGGATTTTTTTTTTTTTTTTTTTGATGGATTAGTAAATATTTCTTAAAAATCTCATGAAAATTAATGGGATTACATGGTGTTTGAATATTAGCGATAATCAGTAGACTTTGCAATATGTCCACTCTGCTCCTCTTTTATTTTCTAATTCTTAATTATTCCAAATGCATAAATGAAATTTCATCTTATTATCTTTTCTTTTCTTTTTTCGAAATAAAAAATCCTAAAAACATTTGGTTGTACCGTTTTTTCTTTTGCATTTTTTTCGGGTAGGTTTTTACATGATTTAATTGTTGAACACTTCTACAATTTGTTTTCAATTTGCTTTTTTAATTTTATTTTTAAATACATTGTAATAAATAATTTACATAAGTATCCCTAATGTGCCAAATATGTGAATGATTTACAAAATTACTCAACCTATATGGCATATGCTATTTAATATTAACAAAATGTAGAGATCATATACTCCAAAAAAGTTTGTGGTGGATTAAAAGTCATTAAATAGTATCCCATTATATTTATTTACATTCATACTCCGAAGGATGATTTTTATGTGTCATATGCAAATATTTATTTTTATTTTTATTTATTTATTTTGGTTACATCACTAACAATGTGCTAGTCAAACTCTTTAATTTCTGGTTGCTTGTCAGATTCTTTTTTTAGCAGGGATGGAGTGGCCCCTGTCACTAGATGAAGAGATTGTAATGCTTCAAGCAAAGGTAGATGCATTGAGCATGAAGATAGGAACATTAACATCAACATTGAATGAAATTAAGGAGAGACGTGCACAATGGACCAATAAATACGAAACTTGTAAGTTGTTTTACACTCGGTCGTATTAGGATTAAGTTATCATTTTTATTTTCGGCATGTGGTGTGATTAATATGTAATATGATTATTTGAGAATAGTCCTTGGTTAGTGAACTTAATGATAAGAATGATGTAGGGTTAAAGGAAATGAAGGCAAGAAATGCTGTTGGGGAGCCAATAAAGGCTATTGAGGAGAGCTCTAGACACAATTCATATTATCTCGGCACTAACATACTAGATGCAGAAATTTCAAAGCATGAAAAAGAGGTAAACCCACTGACAAATAAATTAAAGACACTAACAACAAAGTTGGATGAACTTAAGGAAGGACATCCAAAGCACATTGGTGGCTACCAAATTGGTAAGTTGTTTTATAACTCACTTGTAATAGAAAAAGTTTATCATGTTTGTTGTTGGGCATTTGGAGTGTAAGTAATATCTAACATAATGATTTGGAAGAAATGGCTGTTGTAGGTGTTTCCATGTGTTAAGACCGTATACTTTAATAAATAATATATATAAAAAAAATTATAATGAAAAAATCATAATTGATTGACCACTTAATTTTTGCTTTCGATGACCTCCTTGACTTAGTCTTCACCGTGTATTTGAATCAAATATTATACCATCTTTCCGTCTTTATTTCATAATATTTCAGAAATTTTCTAGAAAAAATAGGGTGTTGAGATTAATTTTTATCAATATTTGGTAACGAATGAAACATCATATTTATTTTTATTTCTTTAAAAAAAATACATGTTATTAATATATCAGTTTTGTTATTATTATTATTATTTTAGAAAATATATATAAATAAGATAAACTGCACAAAGATGGGCTTACAAAACACAAGCCTAAGGAAAACGAAGAGGCCCAACACGGGAGATAGCCCAAGAACAGAAATACATGGAGCAAAGTCCAAAGGTAAATCAAGTAGCTGTTTAAACGGCTCAAACTATTCTTATTCGGTGAGTTTCAAAATGGAGCACAGGGTTGGGGGCCCGGATTTGAACTAAGTAACAAAAATTAAAAAAAATTATAAATCAATTGTAATATAATTTTTTTAAAAAATACTAGTCATGTATATATATCTTGAGAAAATTCAAAAATGAGAAAAATACAACTTGGACAATATATATATATATATATATATATATATATATATATATATATATGTTAGAAGAAAATTATGGAGAAGAAACATAAAGAAATAAGCATTGTTAGAAAATCAAATTTCCTTTATCAATTGTTTAATTTTTCAAAAATCTAATTTTTGGAAGAAGGAAATTAAGTACTTAGATTCCACAATTCAATAACATAATGAATTTTAACTCTTTTTTTTTTTTTTTTTAAAAATATTTAACAAGATTATTATTGAGTTATTAAATAAGATACAAATAGTTATAAAATTTGTTATGTAGAAAGTGATAACTAAAATTATTAGCATAGACGATATTATTATTGTTATTGATAGTCTTACAATTCTTTAGTTTATCTTCTTTCCAAATATTCTTAGGACTTGCCAATAAAGATTGTTATAGGGCAAAGTACAATAAACCCCCCCTTGACTATGGACCTTTTCTAGTAAACCCCCCTTGTCTAATTTTTTACCAAAAAACCCCCTCCAACTATTTGAAGGGGTAAAAGAGTGAATATTTAGACCAAAATGTCAGTATTGCTGTTTTATTTGAATTATAATTCATTCAAAATTAAAAAATTCACATCGTACAAACAGTACATCAAAAAATTACAAATAATATATGTACGGAAAGCTTATGAAAGAAGGAGTTCGAAATATAATATTTGTGTAACATGCCACCATAACCAGAGAGAAATAGATAATTTAAGAATTTCCTCTAGCAATCTTATTATTTCTTTAGAAAATAAAATAGACGGGATATTTGGAAGAAAAATTCTAGTCATTCATTTACATATGGAGCATAACATATAAAAAATGTAGCCCCAACGATTATTCATTTTTGATTTATTTTTAAATTGGTGAGTCTATGAGAAAATGAAAATATCTTGACGCACAATATGATATCTCATGAAATCGGTTTCTATTGGGGTTAAATTTTTTATATATTATGCTCCATGCGGAAATGAATAATTCTAAAAATTTTCTTGCAAATATCCTAAGTATTTAATTTTTAAAAAATAAAATAAGATTGCTATAGAAGATTCTTAGATTGTCTATTTCTCTCTGGTTATGGTGGCTTGTTTCACAAATCTTATATTTATGGAATCCTTATTTCATAAGCTTTTCGTGCATATATAATTTGTAATTTTTGGATATACGGTTTGTGAGATATGATTTTTTGAGGTTAGGTAGAATTAGGATTTAATTAAAACAATAATAAGGGAATTTTGGTCCAAACATCCACTCTTTTACCCCCCTCAGATAGGTAGTTGGAGGGGGTTTTTGGTAAAAAATTTGATAATGGGGTTTACTGGAAAATGGTCATGGTCGAGGGGGGTTTATTGTACTTGTCCATTGTTATATAATTTTAGATATTTTTCTTATAAATATCATTTTACAAAAATGTTTGACAAAAAATGCTTCATGCATTTTTACCAAACATGAGGGAACATTAATTATTTTATTCTTTTTTTTTTTTCTCTCTTGAATTAATATTATAGATATTGTACATGTATATATAAATAAAATAACAATGTGTTGTGATAACAACTATAATAATTATGTATCAAAAAAAAAAAAAATGACCATAATAATAATGAGTTTAAATTTTTGTTTCATAATATTTGAACTTTTAAAAGTATAGTTAAAAGAGTGCAAGTTGAAAAAAATTTAAATTTCAAGGGGACACAAACTAATTAAATTTATTTTTAAACTCTTTATTTTGGGTCAATATATGTGTTTTGAAAAAGAGTGGGGAGCCAATTAAAATTTTAATAAATTTTAGGGACAAAATTTACAAATTGATTAATATTTAGGGGCTATTAATAGAAAGTTTTCAAAAAAAAAAAATTCAAAAAACTTCGCTTGTCAATATATGTGTTAAAAATATTGGGGGCCTAATACCCTTCACTCCCTTGAAGTAACCTTTAAATTCTCCATTGACAGAGATAGTGTAAGGAGAGGTGAGGCAAGCTTTGGTCCTAGAGACGAGAGAAATAGGGAACCCTAACAAAGAGAGAGTCAAGGATAAATTCCCACCCAATGGAGTCAAAGGTTTTAGGTCAACTTTCATAGCACGCCTAGGTGAATTAGATTGTTTGTGGTATTCATTGAGAAGTTCATGAGAAAGCAAGATGTAGTCAGAGTGTGATCACTGGTGTGGGGAAACACAAGCTGAATTTTTACTCACAATCAACTTGGAAATTCACTTGTATACAAGGTTCCAACAAAAGAAAGGTCTATAGTCATGGAGGGAGGTGGGATTTTGACATTGGGGGACAAGAGAGATGTAAGATGTGTTGATTTCCTTCAAGAGTTTTCCATGAGGAAAGAATTCCTTGATGGCTTTAATTATAAAAGGTCCCACTATTGGTCCAAACTTATGAAAGAAGTGGACATTGAATCCATCAGGCCTATGGGCCTTGTCTTTGTTGAAAGAGAGCATACATTGGGTGATTTCACTGTTAGAGGGAATAGAAGAGAGGTAATGGATGGGGTGGGAAGGAATGTTCTGTCTTATAAAGGAGAGAGGGCTGCAATACTTGGATAAGATGGAGGGGAGAAAACATCTTTTTGGATGGCTGTAGGTTCACTGATCTAAACTCCTGCAGGATTGGTGAGCAAAGTGATCTTCTTTTAGTTTTGTCTAGAGTTAACTGACCTAAAGAAGAAAGCGGAACTGGGATCCTCAATATGGAGCCAATTAATTCTTGATTTTTGTTTAAGAACACTTTCTTAAGCATTTCTCAGCTGAGTGTATGCACTGAGAAGAATTTTCTCCTTCTATCTTAAGGAAGAGTCAGTGGGATTACAGTCCAGTTGAGCTTGGTAGATGTCAAGTTATACTTGGTTGAGGAAACCTTGATGAAGAGGTCAGGATATTATGTGTGCCGGATGCTTGAAATATAAATGTGCTTTTGAGGTAAGTGTTCCAGATTTTGTCAACTGAGGGTGGTTGCACCAAACATTGAAGAACCTAATAGGAGGGTTGCCTAGTTTTACAATGATAGGGCTTTGATCTGGAGCTCTTGACGGCAAAAAGGTGCATTAAGAAAGAGGAAGGAGGAGTTCCATTCACAGTTGACAAGGACTCTATCTAATTTCCTAGCAATGAATGCTGGTCCACGACTTTTGTTATTCCAAGTATGGAAAATTCCATTGATCTAATTCAGCAACTTGAAGGCATGCCTCTCATTGATGTCAATAATTGAATTGTAGTCACAAAGAGAGTGCCAAGGGGTGCTGGAATGGACAGTAGAGTGATTAAAGAGATTAGACCAAACAACTCTTCTCTCAGGAATGGAATTAGAACCATGGATATATCAACGGAACCTTTGCAATTTATTCATAGATTGACTTATGTGATCTTAAAAATATACAAACAAGAGTATGAAAGAAAATATTTTATTACCTATTGTACTCATTTTTGCCTAGCATAATTATTATGAACAAAATATGAAGCTTTAAACAAATTTACAATATTCAAAGCAGTAGTAGAAAATAAATTTGAAAAAAGAGTAAAAATGTTGTAGCAGAAAGGAAAAATCAAATACTTCTAGATATGGTTAATGCAATTTTAATTATATCTTGGAAACTTTTAAACCTTTGGGGTGTACGTAAGAGAGTAACATATATAGTAGTATTTGTTTCAATGTCTATATATATATATATATATATATATATTCTCTTAGAAGTGGCTTATTTCTTATTCTTGTATTTTAAAGTTAGTGGCTTTTACGGAATAAGACAAGATTTTTCGGGTGATGAGTCTCATCCCATCACCCAGCTCACATAAATTGAGTTCAGTAAATGTCAAATTAAGTCCCTAAATCACTATTCTTTAGGCAACTTTAAAAAAAAAATTTAAAGACGAGATTTTTCGAATTGCACTAATTGATAATAATTATAAGCATCTTGTCTAGCTAAAAGAATTCACAAACAGCCCAAATCCTTACGAGAAGAGGAGAATTGCCTTAAATAACCTCGACTCTTTCATACCAAACCAGTACTGACTGACCTTGAGTTATTGATGACAATAATGGAACTGAATGTTAAAAAGGAGGGAAACAGTATCTTATGTAATACGAATAATTGGCAATTTTTGCTTAATCTTCTAACAGGAGTTGTGCCTGTAACTACATATTCATACAGATTATTGATTTGAATAATGTGAGAAAAATGTGAGATTTTATCTAATTGTCTCCTAACTAAAAGAAAAAGAAAAAGAATTTGTGGCAACAGAATTTATGAATCCTTTCAACACAACTGTTCAATATAGTTATATTTTATGTTTTGAATTTCCAGAGAATGAAGAGCTCTTAGAATATATTCAAGAATTAAATCTTTTTTCCGTCTTGATGGGAACATAAGAAAAAAGTCATAAGAAAACAATGCTTAACCAATGAAGATAAGAGAAAAACACTTAAATTTTGACATTCCTATTTTTAACATTATATATTAGTATATTACTTAATCAAGAGATTCCTATGCAATAAAGTACTACAATATTGAATTACTTGCTTTGCAAAGCCATATAGTTATGCAATGCTGAATTATGTCTTGACTCCATTGATGTTTCTTAGGAAGTATACCTTCACTAGGCAGAAGTATGAAAAAGGATGAAGACGAAGATGTGGGCACGAAGACTATTATTGATGACTCTAATGATCAAGTGGTGAAGAAGATTGCAATGTTGAAAGTACGGAAAGGGATGAAGTTGAAGTTGAAGTTGAAGTTGAAGATGAAGAGTGATGATACATTCCCCACCACCCTTGTCGAGGTAGATCAACAGATAAAGGCAGTAACAAAAATGTTAAAGGCACTAAAAAAGAAACGTGCTCGTCTTGTCTCACATCTCGTGTTCAAATGATGAGTGTTTGACTGGGTTTCAGCATGGAGTCACCATGTTGGAGTCTCCGCTGTGACGTTAGATATAGGACATGTTAGTAGATATTTTAACTGGAGAGAGAATTCATGTGACCGACCACATTCATTTGAGAAAGTAAGGTTAATGATGATGATGGTAGATATATAAACAAATTGGGTATTGTGACCTTAACAAATCGTCATGTTAGTTCTGAAGCAAGGCCTCGTGCACCTTTAGCACCATGCATCTTGACTTGGGTATTATCACTTTGTGTTTAAATGCTCCTTGCTCGAAATTTATGTTTGAAAAGTTGGTTATATATATTATCACCTAATGTGTGGATCCTTTATTATTATTATTATTTTTAATGCTATTGATAGGAAGATGATGAATGTTTCAAAGGCTTAAAGCTAGAACTTTGTTCTGTTATATAATCAGAAGTGTGATTGTGTGTGTGCGCCTTTCATTTTTGTAATTAATTGCTTAGATTACTACCTCCATACTAATCTGCAAATTATACGACTTTTCAGTAGCAATAAAACTTCTCTTACAACCATTCCATTATCGCCACTACCGATCCATAACCACTGTACTAAGTTCAACGGTATTTGATTGAATACCCATTATGAATTTTAATCAACCTTCTTTACACTTTTAGCTTGAATTTAACCATTAATTATATTATGAGTTATTTTCTTAATATTCTATAAATCAGCTATGCTCTCTTTGAGTTTTTTTCTATTACTTTATTTTTATGTATTTTTAGTTTTTGGAAAAGTAATTTTCAAATTATTTGAGTTGTCTACCTAGTCTATAGCAATTTATCAAATAACATAACCGCAACACAACTATGTATCAAAATGGTTAAGATGGCAAAATGAACTGTCCCATCGGATTCGCGCCTGGACCTGTTCCGTTTGCCATGATTTTGGACAATGCTTGAAAGGCTTTGGGCGGGAATAGGCGAGAGGGTTAAACAAACGTTGAGGCATAACACGAGTAATTTGGAATAATAAGAATAAGGTCTTGTATTTGTTTCTGAATAATCAGTAGTAAAATTTCCTATCCCCTAGAGTGATTTTATGTCTTCATCATTCATCAACCTTCTAGGCTCAGAATTTAGAGGCTGAAGTCCAAAGTATCATCAACCTTTCGGTGTTATAGTACTAAAATGGTGATCACAATTTTACATTGATTGAATCAAATGTAGATAGAAGCTACACTCTTTCACAAGTCCAACATACAACCATGCTTGGTTCAGTGATAAAATTAATGCTTCAATATTGGGTTTCACTGGCATGACCTAGTTGGAGTTTTAGAAGAATCACATTATTAAAAACTCAAACGTTAGAGGATAAATTACAATAAATTTGTGAAAATTTTCAATGTAGGTTTGCCAAATTTTGCAGAGAACCTCCTCTCAAAATAGTACTTTTTGTCATAAATTTAATTTGAAGTAATAAAATATATATGTTGAAAAGACATTATTACCCTTATAGTATTTCTAAATGACAAAAGGCATTATTTTAATGGACAAAAATATCCTCCATTTTTTTTTTCCGTCAAAGATAAAGCAGAGATGTACACACGCGCGTATACAGAGAGTCACCTCATCCCTCCAGCTACTGCCCGCCACCTCCCCCTCCCACCTTGGCCACCACCATAGCCAACTACTAATCCATTACATTAGAGACTATAATTTAGTAAGAAATATACTTAATTGGAAATTTAACCAAAGAATTAAGACATATACTGTCTACATGCAAAGGCATCAACAATACCCAATTCACAACCCTCCCTTCATCACTCTAGATTTCTCCACCAATTTGTTTTCCTCTTTCTCGCACTAATAAACAGATCGTGGTGTTCTAATGGAAAGATTATTAGATCCCATTAAAGAGACAATCTGTTACTACAAACAGATAATATCCCATGGAATAAAAAGAAATTATCCAAGGCAAAATAGTGAAGTATTGTGGTGATCATATGAAGTAATTCATTAATCCATCAATAGAAATCATCAATTGAGAGCTTTCTTAGTGTGTGTATTTACTCATATACGAATATATGTGTGTGTTGTGTGAGTTCAATTGCATGGTCTTTATTCTTGTTTAAGCTTGATGGTTTGTGAAGGAAGCTAATGCAGAGTTCCCTAGCTTAGAATAAACGTTTCTTAGTAATGGCTATCATCAAAGGTAGCCATAAGATATTGTTTGTGTGTCATAGTTGTTTGTCCCCACCTCAAATCGTACATCGCCGACACCCAACACCACCACCGTCACCGACCCAACACCCAATCGGACACACGACGAACCCAATCGCACCCATGACGAACCTAATAGAACCAAGAAGAACCCCAAGTCAAACCCAAAAGCTTCGTTCTCGCCGTCCATGGCTATCTCTATATCAATCACAATAACCCATCAAAGACAAATTGAAGGAAATCCGACATCGGCCTACATTGAATCAAAGACCGATGGAAGGATGTAATCATCAGCGGCGGGCGAGAATTTGAGCAGCGTGGAGGTGGAATCGATTCTGTATAAGCACACAGCGTCGAGTGAGAAAGGCGTGCCCGCTTTAGCCGGCTCTGTCTTACTGATTGTACAAGTCCACCTCTCACCGACCGTGCACAATACCTTGCCCTGCAAAATTAATGAATTAGTGATTGTACAAGTCCACCCCTAGGGCTAGATCAATTTACATGGGAGTTTATCATTATTAGGGATGTCAATTTTTACCATCCGGTCGGGGCCTCGCCCCATTAATAACGAATATGGGAACACTTTTTATACTGTTGGGGTGAACATGGATACAAATTTTGTACCCGTCGAGGATCACGGGGCGGGTAAGGGTTCAGTATACATATCCTAGGGGCCCGCCCCGCCTCGCATATAACTATATAACTATATATATATATATATATATATATATATATAAGTTATTTTAGCGGCTTACCCAATTACCCATCACTTACAATCCTAATTTGGGATGTAAACTTGGTATTAAATTTGCTTTTGTTTTGGTTATGGTGGAAGTTGGAGCTTAGAACTTCTTGTGATTTGGTTGTATTAAACTTTTATTTATGTTTATTATGTTCTCTGAATTATGTTATGTGCATGTTATTTTTTTATTTTTGTTAGGATACATAATTTTATTTATGTTGTGTCATTTCTAAGCTTTGCACATTTAAATAACATGAGTTTAAGTTCCAAAAATTGGGAGAAAAAAATTTGTTAGCGGGGCGGGCACGGGGGCACAATATTTCCTAATGGGACGGGGCTGAACATGAAAATCCAACCCGTTGCAGGTCTCAGGGCGGGCATGGATTTGACAAAAATTAAAAGGGCGGGGCGGGATTTAGGGAAACCCGCTCCAAATCCGCCCCGTTGCCATTCCTAATCATTCCAGTGTATTCCAATACCCATACTGTACATGTATGTAACATACTTTGAATATTATACAATTTTATTTAAATTTTTGAAAAAAAATAAATTGCATTATCATCACTTGATCTGTAATTTTTGAGTCCTTCTCTTTTTATATATATTATATATTTTTTTATCCACATCTATCTATAAAAAGTTTCACATCATTTTTAATTTTTTAAATGCATTTTCTATTTTTACAATTTTGTTATTCAGATCATTTTTTTTTTAAAATGTATTTTCTGTGTTTATTTTTTTGTGTTTAATTTATTTTTTTCAGCTTGTAGGACAAAAGGACGTATTTATTTTTATAAATTTATTTATTTTTTAATTTCAATTCCCCCAAAAAATAGAATAATATTTCAATTCTACATGAATTACAAAATTGGTACGAACATTATATTCGGAATTGAATTTGTTGAATTTCAATTACATAAAATTGGATGTCTAATTCAATTCAATTCCGTGCAACTGAACCTTGAAGTATTTAAAATTTCACATCTGCCAACTATTAAAAATACTAATTGTCATCATTTTTACTGGGATAAAATTGTGCATGAAATCATAGTATAGTGTGTAATTTTATTTCCTCGAATGTCACCCTAATTAGATTCAAGGTCCTTGTATCTAAATTCTAAATCCGTCTCTATTCCCACTTTCTTTTTTATTTTCAATTTAAGTTTCGTTTGTTTAGACGTAAAATAGACTTGACTTTAAATTCAATCTAGACCTTTACCAAATATAAAAAAATCAAACACACACACACACATATATATTTTTTACCTGAAAAAAAAAAATATTTTATTTCCAAATAAATCGAGAAATATTTTTGTTTTTTTGGGAAACCAAAACTGCAATTTACTTCAGTTGTCTGCCTACTCTCTATGATGTGATCAGATAAGAGTACCTGAATAATTAATCCCCAAGGGTACAATGTTACATATCTTCTACCTAGTGACAAGTTACCGTGATAAGATGAGAAAAGGAGGTCAATAATCCATGTTAAAGGCGACATTAAATGATTGTAATTTGGTAAAATAATAATTAATAACAGAAAAAAATTATTAGGATGACAGAAATGAAACCTGAGAAACTGCTGCCCAGTGCCAGAAGCCTCCATCTTACTGAATTTTCTGGTCCAATATTGCAGCCTTCTAAGGCTTCTATGAACTAAAAATAGCATTTTTCTTTTTTTGGCGTTTTGTCTGGGCATGGATTCAGAATCATGTACTTAGTTTCATTTTCTGTTTTTTCTTCATTATTTAAATAAGTTTTGCATGGGTATCAATTCAAAAATGTCAATTCCAAGAAACAGTTAGTTTATAAATTCATTCAAGAAGAAGAATATGCGAGGATCACATCTCTATGCATTTAAGGGAACAAGAATTCGCATGAGTCTCAAGGGCATACAGAAACTCTGGCCCGCCATTGGTTCAATTTACACTTTTAAGATATAGTTTTAAAAGGTTTACTAATTGGAGGACTCTTACTTATACGAGTTTCATAATACGGGTGAGATTTAAATTATGAACTTGCTCGTTCGGATATTAATTGTCCATCCTACCATCTAACAGCACTACACTTGTAAGAGCTTTTTAAGATATAGTTTCAAATCGGTATTTTGACGAATTCACTAATAACCGATTTCCAACATATACTGTCACACAGTAATTAATAATTAATAAAATATAATCAATCTCCTTTTAATTGTTTAATTCAACTATTATCACCTCAATCGGTTCAAAAACTGATGAAGACTTGCATCCCTTTATTAGTTGCTAGGGTAAAAAACACTCCTGCAAATGGAATCAATTATCTTCTCTGTGATTAAAAAAATAAAATTATCTTCTCCTTAGCCTCAGATTAGAGATCAACAAGCTTTTATCTATGGGGCAAGAATAACAGGTTCCTTTCGTTATACAATGCTTGTAGCAGATGACTGTAAAAAAAATGGTGGAAAAGACCATTGGAACACAATCATTGAACAGACTCAACAGATAAAGATT